GTGCAATAACCTCTTATATGTCACCTTGCCAAAATGTCTTCTGGAAATCCAAGTACAATACATCCACAGGCTTCCTTTCATCTACAAGAACTCCAACAAATTGGTTAAACACAATTTACATTCCATAAAACCATACTTACTCTTCTTCGTTACTGTGCGTTTTTCAAAATGTCCAGTTATGATCTTAATAATCGATTCTAATACCTTCCCCATGATAGACATCTGGATAACTGGCATATCTATAATTTGCTTCTTTCTGTCTCCCTCCTTTCTTATATAGAGGAGATGTATTTACCATCCTCCAATCTGTTTGAACCCCCCCCCCCAGCAAATAGCTAATTTATCGAAAATTAATACCAACACCTCTGTGAACTCACGAGCCACCTCTTTTAGGAGTCCAGGATAAAAGCCCACTGAGTGTTTCCCATGTTTTCTGTTTTAACGTTAACTAAAATGATGAACCTTCCTTCACTATAAGTACTTTTTGTTTGGTAGAATGTAGACGGTAAATGTTCATGACATCGTTAGCTCTTAATTGGCTCAAGCGTTGGCTGCCATCCAGAAATGAAATGAATGATCTTATGGCTGTTAGAATAGTGCTACATGATATATACAAACAACCCTGAAACCACTAGATCTTTAAATAGTAGGTAGATGTTAAAATGATCACACCAAGTCACAAGAAATTTGAGAGCTCAAGTTAGACACTGATCCAATGCAACTCAATGCAATAAGCACTACAGATTTTTTTTCCAAAATAGAAGAACAGTATGTAATAATCTCTGTTTACTGAACGGCAAAATCTCTGGAGTAAAGAATTTCTTTAAAATCAGACTTCAAACTGCTGTGCTGGATACCAACAGATTGACAGGGTATAGTCCACAAGCAAAAACGAAAAGGAGGTAGACACCTGCTGAGTAAGTCCAGGCTGTCAGGATTTTAGACAGGTCTGGAGCAATTACTTCAATATAAATATTTTTGGCCCAAAGGAGACTTCATTCCGTATGCAGAAATGCATAATTCCATCCAATATTCTTGCACCTTTGTCTTTTAAATATTGCACAGAATACTGGAATTTAAACATTACAAACTACATTCAGCATCTACAGTCACACCTCTTCTTCATTCAATAATCATTTACAATG